AAAAAAAAAAAAAAAAAAAAAAAAAAAAAAAAAAAAAAAAAAAAAAGAAAGAAAGAAAGGAAAGGAAAAGAAAGAAAGAAAAAAGAAAAGAAAAGAAAAAGCCATTACTCAAATTCTTTGGTCAAATTACACAGGCTTTATTTTTGTGTTAGACAGGGCTATCTCCTTAAAGCAGGGCTTGAGAAAATAGCATAGAATATAGGAGGCAGTGGGGTTTATATAGCCCCCCAAATTTGCAAGACTAGAGAGTTTTTGAGGATTGGGGGATTTCCAGAGGAATTTTGGTTACATAAGAACTTGGCTGAACATTTCAATATCATTTGGCAGAGCACCTTATCGGGATATAGGATGTGGAACTCATCCAGAAAATGTTTAGGACCTGGTCAAATACAAGTTTTCCAGAAAACATTAATAAAATTACTTTGACCTTGTAACAAGATGGCTTTTAATCTTAAGGTGGAGTCAGGCTGGTCCATCAAAGGTCAAAGCTGAGGGGACAGATGGAGCAATCTAACCTGCATGTTTAAGTGTGGGAAAGTTGTAAGTGCAATAGTTAAAGGAGGTTTCACCACTTTGATAAAAACTACCTTCCTACAGAACCAAAGGCCATCCAGATTAGAATGGAAAATTTGTGGACTCTTGGGGTTCTGTACCAGAAAGTGGAGTCAGTCACAGGAGAGCTTGGACCCTAGTCTGAAGCTCCCCTCTTCTCTTCCTATGGCTGATGGAGCAGGGCCTGTGGTGCCTTCAAGTGGTTGTCCCAGGCCACAACTAGGCTCTGCAATAGGTTGCCCTTGGCAAGCCCGGAGCCAATTACACACCCTGGGATTATAGTCTGCTCAGAAAGGTGGCTGAGGAAGAAGTCTGGGCAAGTCCTAGAGCTAGTCTTGATACTTTTGAGCAAGGAATTCTGAGATAATCCGAGATACCCTAGTGAGGTCTAGAAGGAAGCTGTGAATTCTGGGAATACCTCCTTGGCCTCACAGCTTCTGTGCCCTGTGGTGAGGGGCAGAGTCAAGGAGGGCAGAGTTTCCTAAAAGCCTAAAGTCTGTACTGGCAAAAACCCCACATCCCAGGATGTGGTCCTCAGCAGAAGTCAGGCAGTCCGGCAGTCCGGGCACAGACCTCTGACCTGCTTGGTCAGGAAGAGGAAGCCTGGATCAGGCTTGTCCAGACAGCAAGGTGGGGCATGCCTTTCTACCTCTGGAGTGTCACAGAATCTTATCAACCCAACCTGACCTAGTCTGCCCAGACCTGAGTGCCATTTAGGTTAATGATTTAAAAGGATGTTCACCTCTTCACTCTGCAGAAAATACTAGAAGATTCTGGCATGGCTTTATCAGGCTCACAGAGCTTTCACCTAGCCGGGTCCTGCCTTGCCCTCCTGCCCTCCAGCGTTTCACAGTTACAAGGATCACTCTCTCCTTGATTGCTGTCCTTCTTCCTGTTAGACTTTCAGTTAACTATCCTGACAGGTGCCTTCTTCCCCTGACTTGTCTCCTGTCTTCCTAACCTCCACCCCCGGCAGAAGGCCACCACACACTTCTTCTGTTCTGTTGGAGAGAAGGTCGCAAATGGCTTCGAGCCAGCACAAGCTGATTTGATCTGGCTCTCACTTCTACCAGATAATTAGGCTTGTTCAAAACTGCCTTCTTAAGCTGGGTGTGGTGTCACACACCTGCAATCCCAGCTCTTTGAAGCTAAATCAAGGGAATTGCTATGAGTTGTGGGCTAGCCTAGGCTACATTGCTAAACTCAAGTACCCACCCCCAAGCAAAGCAAAACAAAAACCACCACCACCAAAACCCCCCACCTTCCTACCACATTCTCCAGAATTCCCTTTCTATGTTTCTCCCAGTTCCCTCAAGCAACATCCTACTTCTGCATACAACTTCTCCTCTTGCTTAACAGAAGATATCAATATTTTCCAGCCTGACCCTCTTCTTCCTCCTTCTTCTCTGCTGAGAAATATTTAAAGGCAACACTGCCTTTTTTTTTTCTTTTTTCTTTTCTTTCTTTCTTTCTTTCTTTCTTTCTTTCTTTCTTTCTTTCTTTCTTTCTTTTTTTTTTGTCTCATTTCAGAAGGAAGAAGGTAATCTTTCCAAGGTTTATTTTTCAGTTAAGTCTTGGACTGCGTTCTTACTTACTTACTTGACTTAATATTTAGCAAGTATTTATTGAGCACTTGCTAGGCACTCAGAGTGAACACTTTACATACCTCATAAGCATCTACAGTGTGGCACATGCTTCCCATGAGGAGCTTTGGGGAATGTGCAAAGCCGGCATCTCTGTCATGGGTGAGAAAGAAGTCAAGAAGAACTTCCTGGGAGGTGGTGTCAAACTGACATCAAGAGAACATGCAAGAATTAGCTACATGCAAGGAAAACTTGGAGAAAGTTTTCTAGAAACGTGAAGACCGTCTAGAGGCCAGAGAGCACATAGACCTGAAGGCAGAAGCAGGAATTATGGGAAATGAGAAGTGAGAAGTAATCTATGGACCGATTATTTTACAAAGGTTTATTTACTGTGACTTCATAGCCAGCCTGCCCTACATAGTGAATGTCAGGATATCAGGGTTAGAGAGTAAGAGCCTAGCTCAGAAAATTTATTTATGTATGTATCTAAGTGGTTTTACATTTGTGATTGGTGCTTAACTCCAGAAGAGGGCCTTGGGTCCCCCGGAACTAGAGTTACACATGGTTGTGAGCCACCATGTAGTTTCTGGGAAATGAACCCAGGTCCTCTGCAAAAGCAGAATGTGCTCTTAAACTCCGAGCCAACTCTGCAGTCCCTTGAGGATAGATCAGAGCTGGTCTGTGAAGGTTAAAAGGTTAGCGTTTATCCTAAAGGCAATGGGAAACTTTAATTCACTTAAAGCTTAAGTGAATTATGTGTGTAAAATTGTGATTTGGAGAGAGTGTGCAACAGGACAGTATGGGAAGTAACGGTGAGAGAAACATCCCAGCATCTTCCCTCACTCATCTTTGTCCTCAGGCTCTGGCCTGCCAGACTATGGCTTATACACACACACACACACACACACACACACACACACACACACGCACTCACGCACGCACGAACGCATGTCTAAGCCCCTCCCCTTCACTCTATCAAATTGTCAATCAATCGTAAAGCGCATCATTGTGAAATGAGTCTGCCACGGACAGGGACCAGGGCTCTGTATTACAGCATTTAAACATAAAGCGTTTTTGCTCCTTACCTTGGGAATGAAACTGATGCCATAAAACCAATTTGTACAAATGCATAAACGTGGATTGATCATTTTCTCCTCTGTGGTGGGAGAAGAAATGATTGATATATGTCTTAGCTGTGAAAAGACACCATGACCAAGGCAATTCTTATAAAAGAAAGCATTTAGCTGGAGGCTTGGATTACAGTCTCAGAAGGTTAGTTTATGATTATCACTGTGGGGAGCATGGCAGCTGGCGGTCAGGCATGGTGCTGGAGCTTTACTTCCTAATCTGTAGGCAGAAGGCAAAAAGAGAGAGACTGAGCCTAGCATGGGTGTTTGAAACCTCAAAGCCCACTCCCGGCCACACACCTCCTCCAATAAGGACACACCTCCTCCAATGGAGTTACACCTCTTATCAAACAGCTACCAACTGAAGACTAAGCATGCAAATATACGAGCCTATGGGGGCCACTGGCATTTAAGCCACCACAATGTGAAACGACTCTGTTTCTCAACCTGTGGGTCATGACCCCTTTGGCAAACTTCTGTCTCCAAAGATATTTGCCTTACAATTCATAACGGTAGCAAAACTACAGTTATGAAATAGCAATTCAAATAAGTTTATGGTTGGGGCTCAGCACAACACGAGGAACTGTATTAAAGGTTGGGAACCACTGTGGGAGTGAAAAGAAAGGGTTGTTCCTAGGTCCTGGCTGGGGTTTCGGGAGATAAAGGCTTATAGGACTGGGAACTGCTGTCATCAGGGCCAGCTGACTGCACCCAAGATCTCAGAGGGTTCACAGGCCCAACTTGTGTTGAGAAGATAGCATTAGCTCTTTAGACTGACAGGAGGACCTTCCTTTCCCCCGAAACACCGCAGCCAATCACACGTGGGTTTCCATCTACTTCATTTCCCTTGGACAACCATCCCAGGAACCCCACTATGCAAGAACAGGGGCAGGAAGGTCTGAAATTGAATTCTGACCTAGAATACTTCAGTAATTTCACTTGACAGACAACTCACAGAGTCCGCTCAAGTGAGTCCAGATTAAATGATCTGCCAGGAAGAAGGCTGACCATGGAGATTCGGAAATTGTATTCACTCCGGGGAAGGGGGATCTCACTTTTGCATAGATGTCCATGGCGTGTGGTGCTCGTGGGATGCCCAGTGCATCACAACCATGGGAAGTGGGAAGTGGTTCGAAAGGAAGACTGAAAAGGGTGCAGTGTGGTGATCGGTGGTAGAGGAGGAGGCAGTAAGCAAAATGGCAGAAGAGACATTTAGGTGGCACAGCTGGATATGAGAGGTGATGCAGACAGTGGTCAGGGTGATGCAGGTGTCTATGGCAACGGCAATAGTCCATAATAACCCTTGCGGAGGGAGAGTCAAAAAGAAGAACAGGTGTGAAGAGGAAATGAGTTCAGCTTGCGTTTGTGATGCCTGTGAAACTTGTAGGGCTTGATGTTCAAGACGAGGGAGAGAGAGAGAAAGAGTCATAGATGTTCAGTAAAGAGGAAGAATCAGGAGCCTAGAAATACCCAGTGTTGCAATAGGTCAAATAAGGAGAGAAAGCATTCTTTGAATTCA